AAGGTTGGGAAAGAAGGCAGTCATAACAGGCTGGTGAACCAGGTTAGTGATCCGGGGATGGGTTGGTTGAAGTGAAGTAAGCCAAACTTAACTAGGGAGATTGAATTTATCTTTGGCAAGTCGTACATAGGTCCAATTGGAAACCGGGTGAGTCACATTTCAGATTTTTTAATATAAAGCATAATGTAATTTAGACAATTCCTTCGGGAAATGTAGTACTTCATTAATAAAGCAGGCATGGGGCATGGTTGTAAATTTTTAAAAAATAAAAATAAAAATAAAAACATTTTTTAATTTTATAATAATTGTTTTTTTTTTTTTTTTTTTTTTTTTTTTTTTTTTTTTTAGATAGCTTGGTCTTGTATTAAGCATTATACATTTAATAAAATTTTAGTACACAGTTATCAAAGGAAAAAAAAATAATAATAATAATAGTTTTTACTCTCTATAAAACTAAAGTAGAAAGGATGAATATGTAATAGATAACAAAGTTAAAATATATAATGATGAAACTTGTTATCTTCATAGAATTAGAGCTGAAAGTAATGAACTTGTGATAGGTGATGATAATGAAACATATTATAGATTTTGTTATTTTTATATTATTAGAGTTAAAAAAGATAAATATATTATAGATAATACATCTAATAAAAAATATAATGTTATATATTGTTATCATTATACAAATCTTATACTCTATGTTGAAAAGGACAAACATATGATGGATAACAATGTTAAACATATAATAAAGGATCTTAAAAATTGGAGTTGAAAATAACAAACATATGTAATAAAATATATAATGGATTATAGAATTGGAATTGAGAAAGGCAAGCATATAATAAGTAATAGTAATAGAATATATAATGTTAGATGTTGTTATTATTATGGAGTTAGAGATTAAAAAGATGAACAGATAGTGAGAAATAACAATAAACTATAATAATGAATCTTGCTCTTTATGGAATAATTAAAGCTGAAAAGAAAACTAATAAGAGAAACATTTAATGATACTCTATAAGATTAAACTTAAAAAAAAAAATTTAAAAATATTTATCTTAAAATATTTCAATAAATAATCACAATCAACTAACTTGATACAAATAAAAAAAAAATATAGTAAATACTCAATAACTTTTGATATTAGTGCGAAAAAGATTAAAATACTTAATAAATTGGCTCTGATTTAAATAAAAGAGGGTTTAGGTAGGCTTGCACATTTCTACAATATATGACAAACCCAAAAATATAAGTTAATTAAATAGTGTGAAAAAGATTAGATTAGTAAAATATTGCCACATTACTGTTCATAGACAGAAGTTTGTCTGATTGGCTAGTTTTTTAGATCGATTTGCAAATCTACATATGATGATTAACCAATCAAATTACACAATTTTTATTTATTATTTTACAATATTACAAACTAAAAACAAGAAAAAAGTTTATAAGAATCAGTAAAAATACTGATTATATATACATATAAAAGATAGATGAATATATATAAAGAGAACTTACTAAATCTAACTACAGAACTATTTAAGAACCCAAGCTTATATCTACAATCTATAAACTCAAACTTAAAAACCAACCTAATTTAAAAGTGCTTTAACCCTAAATTTCTTATTGCTAATATCACTAACAAGCTTATTCCACTTCAAAAACCAAATCTGAAATTCCGATCTCTAAAAAAAAACCTGCTATTTGTTAGTAACTATTTTTTTTAGTACATGTTAAAATTAGTGTTTCAACCTGGGTCAGGTTAACTCAGGTGGGTCAGATATCCGGGTTGTGGTTATGACCACCCAGGTAGATGCAGACAGGTCAACCCGCGGATTACCTGTTGGGTCACCTGTGAATCAATCCATCGATCCTATAATACAGTAATTAAAAATTACAGCTATTATCATTATTCCTGGGACACCTGGCAAAAATTAACCCAAATGATTATTCTGCCAATTCTATAAGTTATATATTTCGGGAATAATAATAATAAGATTCAGTCACAAATATTGATATATCAAATACTGTACATAATTTATAAGATCAGATGACTAATATATATTACAATATTGATATGCGCAATTGTAAGTCATAAAGTTTCAATCCTATTCTTTGGCACAATCCATTTTTGCTTAAACGAAGCTTTTATTTATTTCTAATTATTTTTCGACGAAAATTCGGGTTTAAAAAATTGTATAAAATTTCAATTCCTATTCTTTGACAAGATTTAATTATTAAAAAATTGTGTAAATTTTCAATTTCTATTCTTTGGCAAGATTCGTTTTTGTTCAAACAAAGCCTTTATTCATTTTCCACAAAAATTTGTTTTAAAAAAATTGCATAAAATTTCAATTCCTATTATCTATTTTCATTCAAATGAAGCCTTTATTCATTTCTAATTATTTTTCGACAAAAATTAGTTTTTAAAGAATTATATAAAACTTCAATTTCTATTCTTTGACAAGATCTATTTTTGTTCAAACGAAATCATTTATTTATTTCTAATTATTTTCATTTCTTGTTGAAGATAAGAAATTCGTTTTCGATTTCTATTCTTTAGCAAGATCTATTTTTATTCAAACGAAGGCATTTATTTATTTTTAATTATTTTTCATTTTTTGTCGATGATGAAAAATTCTTTTTTAAAAAAAACAAGTTTCGGCAAGATACATTTTCATTCAAACAAAAGAATCTAATTATTTTACATTTCTTGTTGAAGATAAACAAATATAAACATATAAAATTTTTTACTTGGATTTCGTTTATTATAATTCTTCATACATTCTTGACAAATATTAATAATATCTTGGTCATTTAGAATCTTAACCAGAGATTCATATTTAAGCTAGTCAACAAATTTATATTCATATTTTAACAGCGTCACCTGTTCATGTAATATATTTGTTATAAAAGTCTAATTTATATTCGGATCCTTTTTTACGTTTTTCATTAAGATTTATTGGTTGACAAGAACAGTCTTTTCCATAAGATTTCATACAAACTAAATACACCAGACATGTTGGGCAAGTATTCAAGTAAAAATTTAATAATGGAGAACTTATTATGGCTTTTGGGAGTGCAATCGATTAGACAATATTTAAGAAATTGTTAATAGATAAAGATGGATAGATAGAATATAATTTAAGTGGAGTTTAAAACACTGCACAGTTCTAAAAATTTATTAAAGTAATCATCCACCCGGGTTAAACGGGTTACTAAATGATCTGGGTGGAACCGCTGATCTACCCGGATGACCCGCAGGTCAATCTGTGGTTCACCCAGGTCATGGTTTTTTAGACAGGTTAAAACACTAGTTAAAATTCAAACAAAACCTTTTTTTTCTTTACCTAATTCAGAAAGTTGCGTCTAAGCTAATACTACTTAAATTTAAAATTATTTAAGATTATTTTTAAAGGTAGTTTTCTGGAAGTGAATTGTATAAAAAATTTTTTTCACATTAGTGAAACGTTGCATTTCTCAAAAAGTACTTTAAAGTGTATAAATAAATTACCCAGGCAATTGATCTACATCAGCCAATTAAATGAATTTCTGTCTATGACATTACATTTACTATTTTTGTTTGTTGATTTTTTTTTATCATTAAGTTTTTTTTCAAATCTCGCAACATGCGTGCGAATAGACAAAAATTTCCAAATTGATATATAGAAACATCAAAAAGTAATTTTTGTGAATCAAGCCGCATCAAAAACATAACTTTGTATCACTATGCGTAAACACTAAATATCCCCGGCAAATAATATGGTATTAGTCCGTTTATAGATAATCACCAAACATGTGATTCTTCTCAAATCGATAACCTTTCAAACTATTCACCATGTATAGAGGATTGACTATCTAGTTAAAACGTATAAAAATGATAATGTTTTACAAATACACTAGATGATTATGCCACAGTTCTTTAATAAATGGTCAAGAATGTGTTTAAGGTAGCTTTGTTTATATATAATCGCATTCAATACATATTCATGCAATGTTAGTCAGAAACTACCAATAAAATTTGATTTGCAGTCTATATAACAATTGTTTAATTTTGCTTCTTCGAATCTATATCAGATACATCCTTTATATACCTTGTATTTTTTAATATATTACCACAAGAACTTCAATATAAAGACTATTGGTAAAGAATGGAAATTTGCTACATGGAAATCTTTTTATAAAAAAAAACTATTTAAACCCAAGAATGAGCTTCATCGCTAAGAACTAATCTAAAGGTTAGTGTTTACATATTCTTAGAGATGCGAAAATGCTAATTAACTAGGGTAGTAAGAGTACTATGACCCGTACTTTGCGCACTACAGGGAGAAGTGTTACAGTGACTTGAGAGTCTTGTCTCATTAGTAACGGGCACGTCTTACTGCCTTGCTACTAGATTTCTAGATAGGATTTGCTGATTCTGAAAGAAGAATCAGTTATACATCTTCCTTATTATAATGCAATATTATCATGTCAATATTTAGCTTTTTCTAACCCAGCTCTACATTTTTATTTGAGTCATAACGTTATTTCTATTGTTTTTGGTCTTGTCAATTTTTCTTTTTTTTTTTACCAAATACTTTTTATTTAAGTTTATAACATTGTATTTACACTCCATATTTTTTGATTTTTGATTTTTGGTTATTCAATATCTTGCACTATACAAATCATATCATTTAAGTCTATAAAAAATATTTTTAACATATGCTTATATGCCTAATAAAATTTTTATTATGTCCAATTGCCAACACTGTTATAATGGAATCTAATTATAATTCTTTTTTCTGTTTTATAATAGAAATATAAGAAAATATACCTTCTCATGAAAAATTGAAAATAAAGCGAGAGGAACAAAAGAAACGTCCTTTTTTCTCTTATTGTAGTCAGAAGGTGTATTGTTAAAATACTCAATTAGAGGAAGTTCTGGGGATTTTTTTGAGCTTCTTTTTGTAATTTGAATACATCACCGAACAAGTAGTGCACCTAATGACTGGTTCTTTAAAGCGAATAGATATATAATATTATCCGGCAAACTCATATGATCATGAAAAATTATTTTTTTCATGTATTACTATATAATTATGTTTATTCCAATATTCAAAATTAAAACTTAGCGAGCGACTCTTTACTAATTATGATTATAAATTGCCGGATAACACCAATATTAGGCAAATTGTCGAATACGGTAATTTGGCAAATAATTAGCTACACACGCTGCTTTGCGGCACGTGCTTATTTGCCAAATTACTATTATTCGATAATTTTTGCCCAATATTGTATACATATATATACATAATGCATAAGCTATACTTTTGAATACCTATATAAACCACCAATGATAATTGTATCAACTCTTTACTAATCGAAAACGTAACTTTGGTTAGTTCGAATTTAAGGATCCCCTAAAAGAAAATCTTAGATGTGGAATGCTTTTTATTGGTTAAATATAAACTTTATATCTATAATTTTTATCTTTTTATCTTCATATTTTTCAAATACAAAAATAATACTAAATTTATATCATAGTGAGCATTTTTATTAGCCCTCCTTTACAAGTTTTCTTAAGACCCGAAGAGCCCTTTACTTAGTAGAACCTTTTTTAATTTTCAAATGATTGCTTTAGCCAATCAGATTATTGCTTTAATTTTATAGGGGTTGTAAAGACAAAAAATACGCCAACTTTAGAGCAAGATCCTTTTAAAACTATTTGGTGTTAGTTTTATAACTTTTGTTAAAAGATTATTAAATGCTAAAAAATATAAGTCCCATATTTAA